ACTCTCTGACATCAGGCTTCTTTGGATACCTGTGGTTATGTTGGCCGGCGTCTCCTAACAGAACATCCTGATTGTGGAAAGAAATTCAGCCTGAATACTGGGATCGGATATCACAAATGTGGTCTAACTCCGTATAGACCACACAAACTGGTTCTTGAAGGCAAATCAGCAACAGGGTGAAACTTCTGAAAGAGAATAAGGGGATATTTGATACCACAATGATTGCAATAAAAGCCATTTTAAATGCTGGAACAAATACAGCTCTATTGATAGGCTGCCCAGTTCGAGACTTGTGCTGGCAGTCTTTCACGAGAGATTCTCAGGAAACCTTCAAAACATTTGTGGCTAGAGCATATCTTCCTCAAAAAGTTGTTTAGTTGTTCTGTGAAATGTGTGCAGACAATTATAAGCCCTCAAAATATGTCACACCCTTCATGATGCTATCAGCACTGTCAGGAGAGCAACAGTTCATTAGAATGTCTATCAGCTTTTGGTGGTACTTTGGTGGCCCACTGCCATCATCCATCTTTGAGCGAGTGCCATCCGTAGTGATAAATGCTGCTAATAATCTTAGTCAGCTCCAGGATGGACTGCTACAACTCTTTATTTGGGCTGTTATTAGGAAGTTGAAAGAAAATAGCAAATTATGGACAAAGCACTGGCTTATCTGTGGGAGCTTGGTGAGCCTCTGGAAGGCATATTAATTCTGCAACCTCCGCTTCCTTTCTGCCAGCTTTCTGTTGCGCAAAGAATCTGAATGGGCTCAAAATATCAAAGGCTGTATCTGCAGGTTCTGTTACCATCATTCATCTGGCTCAATAGGAACTGAATAGAGTCCAAAGAGAAATTAATAATGGTTATAGGTGACCTATTCTTACTCCAGGCTCTAGAGCTATCATTCTCAAACTAAAGACACAGCACCAAGCAGCGTTGTGAACCTGAGAGAGGAGGAGTAGATAGGGTTGTGCATTTGGAAAGAGATCATGATTTGGGAAGTACTGCTTCATTCCAGAGTAATCCTAAAATTGTCATTTCAGGCCCTGTGATCCTTTTTTCATCATCATATTTCCAGAGAATCTGAAGGGACAAGACCAGAGAAATCCAGGCTGCTCTGTGAACAGAGACATCCTACAGATTTGCCTTCCTCTCTGCTGCTAAAATCCCCTTGGAGCTGTCCATTTTAATATGACCAGCTCATACACAGGTTTCTCACCTCTTCCAATGTCTCCAAGCCCACTTGAAGTAGCCAGATACCCTTGCATTTCTCCAATTTCTTTCTCTAAACAAGAGACAACATACTGTGTAGCTTGCGTAGAGCCACGTACTTGCTGATTGGCAATCCAGCAATTCAATTAGGGGACAAGCGCTCCTAGCTTTCTCTGTAATGAGGTCATTTAAGAGTTCTGTCTTCTGCACAACAACTGATTTTAAAAAGGCACTTGCGGTAATTTAGTGTCTTTGAGACTTCTGAACAATTTGCTTCAAATTGGCCATCGGGTTCAAAAGTTATGACGGAGAATTGACAGATATGTAGATGGAAAGTATAATTGTGTGGCTACTGTTTTGTTAGGAAAGGGGCCCAGAAATAATAGGCATGTTTCTTTGCTGCAGTTCATTATTATGCCAGGTCCAA